TTTTAGCTTTCAAAACAAACAGTTTTATTTGTCCTTTTGGAATTCTATTGATTTTAAAAATCAAAAACTAGATATTTAAACTATTTTCAAGGAAACTAAAATTGTTCTATTTGTCAGGGTTCTCTATAGGAACAGGACCAACGTGATGGAAAAAATATGAAATCACATTATGTTAAAATAGTAACAGCTGAATCACACCTGGAGGCTGAGGAAGCAGTTATTGCTCAGTGCTTATGGCTTGGGGCCTTGACAGTAGGAGTAAGTCCCATGGTAGCTGTCTCTTAGTGGGAAGTCTGACAACCCCATGGTTGCTCAGTCTACAAAGCTAGGTGCCTCAGCAGTCCCAATTTGGCACCAAAAACCTGGAAGGTCCCTGGAGAGCCACTGTTTTTTAGTTCAGGATGGAAACCTGGAAAGCATTCCTCTGTGATTCAAGATGATCTCTTAACTGTGAGTACCTGCAAAGTCCAAAAAAGACAAAACACAGGTACATACTTACAGTATACAGTGGCACAGATGAAATATTTCCAGTTCTAGGAGGGAGGAATTGGGACAAAACAAGGAAGGTGTAGACCAAAACAAAAACAAAACCCAGTAGGGTAAACAGTACACCCTACAGCTTTATGCCCAGCACCTGGAATTCATGATAGTAACATCTGGATTCCGAAGGGCTAGGGGTCAATGTGCCTGCAGCAACTGTGGCCTCTCTCTTGGGCTGGCTTCATCTGGTCATTACAGCCTTCTCCAGCTATCATCTCCTCCACACTCTCGTCCCCATTACTTCTTAGATTTCACTGTCACAGTGTCACACACAGGACCTGGAATCTGACCGGACTATGCATTCCTTGGACTCAGCAGCTTTCTGAAACCTCAGGAAAGCCTCCATGATCCTATAACCCTTACATTTTGTGTGTCTGAAGGATCTTCACTACTGGAGCAATGCCAAGCTGAGAGAGATTCTTCCCCTTGGACCTCAGCAGTAACAACTATTACATGTCTTCTATGCTAATCATGGAAAAGCACTTCTCTAGGTGGCCCTGCTAAAGCAGGATGCCCTTGGAAGGAGGGTCTCTTCATCCAGTCACGTGGCGATATTTTGTTTGTGCTCTAACAAATAAAGCTTGCCTGAAGACCATAGAGGCCAGGCAGTGGTGGCACACACCTTTGATCCCCGCACCTGAGATCTCATGCCTTTGATCCCAGTATTTGGGAGGCACACGCCTTTAATCCCAGCACTAGGGAGGAAGAGATAGGAAGTGATATGGCTGGGTGGAGAGAGGAATGTAAGGCGGGAAGAGACAGGAGCTCACCCACTTCAGTCTGAAATTTGGTAGAGGCAAGAATTCTAGTGGCTGGCTCCTTTACTTCTCTGGTCTTTCAGCATTTACCCCGGTGATATCTGACCCCAGGTTTTTATTATCAAAACCAATTAGAATTCGTGCTACACTCACTCTTCTTTTTTTCACTTTTTAAAATTATTTTTATGTGTATGGGTATTTTCCCTGTATGTATGTCTGCGCACTGGTAGAGACCAGAAGAGACCCGTAGCGACCAGCAGAGGGCGTCAGATCCCTTGGAACTGGAGCTACAGTTGTGAACATCATGTGCTGGGAAGTGAACCCAGATCCTCTGCCAATGAGTTTGTTTTCTAATACCCTGGAGCTTAATGGGCAGAGGTTTGCCTTCAAGGTACCTTTCCTATTGTCCTGTGCACTGGTGTGATTTCTCTGCAATTGTATCAATCAATCCCTTTGCCATTGTAACTGCTTTGTCAGGCCAGCACTACTTACAACGTCTATCCCATTGATGACTTTCCTTGGTACTGCACACGTTTTCATATCTTTCACCGTTCTACTGAGAATCCACCTAAGAGCAGCGACACAGCTTAGATGTCATGCCACGCTAAAATTCCCTATGAAAAACTAAAACTTTAAATTTAGACATTTAAAAAATTCAGGATATGAGCAGAATACGGATTTGTTTGTTTGTTTGTTTGGAGACAGGGTTTCTCTAGTAAAAGCACTTGTTGTACAAGCATCATTGCCTGAATCTGATTCCTGAAAAGCAATGGTGGAAGGAGAGCCAGGTCCCATGTTGTTCCTTAATCTCAAAGGCGTGGTTTACACATCAGAGATTATTCCATGTTTATTTTATTATTTAATCAACTACATTCTTTCAGTTGAAGTAGTCACAGAATTCAAGTAGAACTTGGATGAAATATAGTTGAGGTGTATAGTTCAGAAAATAGTCCCTCAGTGTAGGGTGCCTGGTGAAACCCTCTAATACAGGGTAGATGCATGTTACATCCAAATCTAAGAATTAACTATTAATTAAATCTGAGAATTAACTATTAGCCACAGCTGCTGAATATCCTATGTAAATGTTGTACTAGCCAATGAACAATAGCAGCACCTTGGACTTCTATAGCTGTTGGAGGCTAAACAGGGACTAGGATGGGGTGGGTAGGCAGAGTTGGGGAATGAATATGATCAAAACATATACGAAACTCTTATTAAAGAATGTAAAAAAGTTTATATTTATTTTGCTCCAAAGATGATGTTTTTTGATAAATGTTGTCTTATTCTGTTGCTGTGAAGAGATCATGACCAAGGCAACTTATAAAAAGAAGCATTTAATTGTGGGCTTGCTTATAGTTTCAGAGGGTGAGTCCAAGATTGCCTGGCAGGCAGCATGGCAGCAGGGAGGCAGGCAGGCATGGAGCAGTAACTGAGAGTTCTTATCTGAGCCACAAGTTACAGGCACAGAGTAAACGAGACTGGGCCTGGTGTGGGCTTTTTGACCCTCCCATCTCCAGTGGGCACATCTCTAACAAGGACACATCCTCCCAAGCCTTCCCAAACAGTTCCACTAGCTGGGGACAGACATTCAAATCTATGAGACTGTGAGAGCCATCCTCATTCAAACCACCAGAGATCTGTATTTTCTCACTAGTTGTGTATCACAATGACAGAAAAGCATAGTTTTTTCAGTATTTTGCATACATTGTACTGAAGTTTCCCAACCAGGTGAAATTTTATAAAATGTTTTTAAATACAGGGTAGATATGTGCTGCATCCAAATCTGAGAATCTATGTGGTTATGTACAAAGGTAATTTAATTTAAAACCAATTTTGTAGATATTTATGATACTGAATAAAAATAGTTTCATTACAATCCAAATCTTTGTGTGTGTGTTCCCTGTGTGTTCAACAGCTAAAATTTAGTACTAATAAGCATGGAAATTATGTGAAAATCATGCGAATGAGATATATGCTCCTTTTGCTTTAAATAGGTAAATTTTATATTAATGTGGATATTTTTTAACGCTGATACTTTTTAAAATGCTGACATAATATTTATTGAAAGAGGTGAAAGATAGAAGTGCACAGCTGGTCAAAGTATCGAGAGTAAGTCCGTGGAAAGCTCAGCCACAAATGGGACATCTATTTCACAATCAGTCTAAGGGACTGTCCCAGAAAAGGCCTCTGTAAGGGCCAGAGGCTAGGGAGAACTGGTACCAAATAGGCTTCTGAACAGGGCCAAAGAGAAGCGAGGTATTCATGAACTCAGCAGCTGTGGTTGAGATCAAGGACCTCAACATCCCAGCATCAAGTGGGAAGGGGTTCATGAGTTTCTACCTAAGGAACTGTGGACAGGTGATGGTTTGGGGGAGGGGCAGTCAGTTTTCTTCTGACTGGCTCCTGGTAGGCTGACCAAGCCCCATTGGACAGCCCCAGCACCAATTAGAATTGATGAGCTATTAAGAAAAGAAAGAGGGTACAAAGTAGGGGTTGTGTGGAGAGGTGGGGGTGAACCTAGAGGAGCTGGGGTGGGTGTGTGGGAGCATAGTGGATCTGGAGGAGCACAGTGGATTTGGGGGAGCTGGGGTGGGTCTGGGGGAGCATGGTGGATCTGGAGGAGTACGGTGGACCTGGAGGAGCAGGGGGTGGATCTGGAGGACCAGGCAGACAGGATCAAATCACATGTATAAAATGCTCAAAGACCTGACGTTTTTAAGGAGTGAGCGAGCAGAACACAAGCACTTCTGTTTCCTGACTGCTCTCCTGGGCCTCAGTGGACTAAAACTGTGAACCAAAAGAAGAAGCCTTCCTTCCCTTACGTTGCTTACAGTCATAGTGGTAAGAAAAAATAAGTAATAAACCTCTTCAAGAAATTAATATAAAGCCTGGCGATGGTGGTGCATGCCTTTAACCCCAGCACTTGGGAGACAGAGGCAGGCGAATCTCTGAGAGTTCAAGGCCAGCCTGGTCTGCAGAGTGAGTTCCAGGATAGCCAGAGTGGTTACACAGACACAGAAAGAAAACTTGTCTCCAAAAAAATTAATATAAAAAGAGAACAAGTCTCCAAAGAGAGCAGACAGGGATACAGGAAGCACATCCAAGAAATATACAGAAGGTGCATTTAGTCGATGTCACTTACAGAAAATGGGACACACACACACCCCACCTGCTGTGCAAACACTGTTCCATCTATGCGGTTCTGTGACGACGATGGAAACCAGGTTCTCCGACAGCATTGAATTCTCTGGTTATGAATGGCAGGCAGGATGTTTATGGTTTTAAAAAATGCTGACTTTAGTGTGCATGAGGAGGCTGAATGTCTGTACTGTGTCAAAGAAACTAAAGTGGCAATTACAGATGTTGTTCTTGGCTGTTCTGTCGGCTGAGGACAGAGGAAAGTGAAATGTTTGATACATATCTATAAATACACTGTTATACATTTTAATGTCCTTGGACAGTGCGTGGGGCTCCTGACTCAACTGAAGATGAAAGTGAGCAGCACTCCACTGCAGCCACTGCTGCCGAGGGTAACACTGCAAATCCTTTTCAGCAAGCACAGTTACCTTTTGGGGGAAGAACTATGTAATTTTCTTTCATATACCTTTATTTTCAAAAAATTCTAAAGTGCACATGCAGTATTTTTAAAATAAAACAGCAACATTTTAAAAAACAACACCATTCAGTTAGATGTAAATCTGATGAGGCTGAATCAGTAGATAAACATGGTTTATTACTTTACTCATGAAAGTAATTTCTACACATCAAGTTCAGGCCTCTCTGGACTGTTTCCAACTCCTTGGCAGAGGCTCTGTGGTGGTTTGGAGCCCACATCCATGTAAGGATGTATGATGGCCTCATGGCAGGGGTTCCCAGGAACACAAGAGACCAGTGCTACTAGCCATGGACAGTACACCCAGTTCCCAGTCCTACCCACTGTAGTGAGATAGAGCATGCCAACCTTGTTCCTCGGTTTATCTGGTATTCAATGAGGACTCATTTGGGCACAGCCACAGAGGTTGTGAAAATACATTTTAAGAAAAATAAATATTCTGCATAATGTATTTACAAGGACCAACTGTTTTGTTCTTCATCCCAATTATTAGAAGATGGAAAACTATCATTTGACAACTAAGAAACATATTTCTGTTGTTTGTGTCAGTTCAACACAGAATGTGGGGCTGAATATCCAAAACCTTTTCTGATCCAGATTTAAAAATATACAAAATTGCAAATTTGATATGCTGAGAAGAGTTTCAGGAAAGAAGCGTGAGTGGCTTTGAGATGTCCACTCTCACTGATGCCGCACAACTGCCAGAGCGTCTTCCGTGTCCTCTCGGGTTCTTCCGGAAGAAGGGCCGCACAGGTACAGTCAGTCACAGACCCTGTCATCACTTTGTGTCAAAGAATACTTACACCAACTACACGACACACAGAGAGCACAAGGGACAACTGCGGACAAGGGCACATGGCTGAGGGCACCATTAAAACTTGAAGAGGTCAATGAAATGCTGGGGGGACACAGGTGTAAAGCAGCTGTCAGGGTCAGCAGCGGTGCAGGGGTGTCCCGAGTCCTGAGGAGAGGAAGGAGGCAGTCAGGACACACGTCACACATTTACAGAAACAGCACCTATATTTTGTTAGGTGGATCTCAGCCCCTTTCAATGCTATACAAATGACTTAGCTGGGAATCGGTACCTGGGTGGCCCCAGGGGAAATCTAACAACAGGTGGCCATGCTTCATCTTTGTGGCCACCCTGTAAGACATGGAAGCTGCGGATCTCTGCCTGCTCCTGCCCACCCCTCTGCATCCTGCCTCCCAGTTCCTTCTTCCCTTTGCAGGCTTCCAGGGTGGGTAAGTAGTCTCCGCCCACACACAGAAAGCACAGGACACCACAAGCATCATTCCAAGGGTAGGTGTGTAGAGTTGGTAGTACCCACAACCAAGGAGCTGCAATTATTTTAGTAGAAGTAACAAGAGAAATTTAAGATTTGCAGAAAACTGACACCATCTGGAGAGGCTCAGTGTGACTGGGGCTGCTTCTCTGTGGCCTTTAGCAGACCACTCTGAGGAGCATGGATAGTGTGCCAGCTTTCTGGGTTAAGTCTACTGTTGTTAGCAAGAGCTAAACCTTATCAACGCTGCCACCTGACAGGGCAAGGACAATACACGAGATGGACCAGCACACTGCCACAGGAAGTACCTTCAACAACCAAGCAAGGTGGTAGTCCTTGACACCGGGAAGAGTCAGCAAGGGAGCAGCACAGGGAGAAAAGGAGAGTTGGGTTAGACAGAGCGAGGTGTCATCAGGCAATCAGATGTGAAGCATATATTGTGAAAATAACTGAGATCCTGAGTAACGCAATTTAAGCACTATAAAATATTATGAAAGGACAGCATCACTGAGTACCTGACATCTATACAATTAAAGATAGCTTACGGACAAAGCCAGGCATTGTAGCCAATGCCTTTAATTCCAGCAACTGGGGGGTAGAGACAGGTCAATCTCTTACAAATTAGAGGTATACATAAAGAGTTTCAGGCCAACCAGAGCCACATAGTGAAGAATGTTTTAAAAAATAAATAAAAAGAAAATAGAGAGAGAAAGAAAAAGGGAAGGAAGGAAGGAAGGAAGGAAGGAAGGAAGGAAGGAAGAAAGGAAGGAAAGAAGGAAACCTAAAGCAAGAGAAACAGTTCCATTTCCTTCTAAGTTTCTAGACTGACCATCTGGAAGGCCACACCATTCAAGTGTTTGTTAAAAATACACAAAGCAGTCTCATATTTCCTTGAAAAAAGGATTCTGAGGGAAGCCCCTCATCTTTTTCATTGTCCTGGGGTCTGCTCTGTGAGTAACTGTGTAGCCAACTGCAAATTCCATACACTGAGGCCCCACACCCACTACACCTTACTTCTTACAACCCACTAACATCTGCTGTTGCTTTTGTGTGGTCCACAGTCCTGAGCTAGTGGCTGCTCCTGGGCTCTCTAACTGCAGGATGTGTCTCTGCCTGCTAGGGAATGGGGGTGGTGTTTCAGCTCTGCTCATACAAGGGCAGTTCACAAAGTCAGCCAATAGGGAGGGTCTGGGATCTCCACCTCATCACTGGTTCTGGTCACAGACTTGCTTCTACTGCCTTTAGAGACCTCAGGGTCACTGCTAAGTGTCTAGCCCTCTTTTGGCTACTGAAACACTAAGACAAGAAAGGAGCAGAGAAAGACCAAGTCTCCATCCTAGCTCCCTAATCCTCTCTGAGCCCACAGTTTCTGATAGGTTTCACATAGTCAGGAAGCCTCAACTGGTAACCTGGGTGGGAACAAATGACTGCGTCTTGAGCAGTAGTTGGAAAAATTAACAAGAATCATTACAGTACAGTGGAACTAGAACAGATGGAAAACCAGCTTGGGAGGGGGCACAGAGTCCCCACTAGGACAGGGGGTCACTATGGAACATGCCAGGCACAAGACAAGATGCAGCTTGGCCACAGAATGGCTCTTGATCGTGTCCAGGCCCAGGTGAGGACTAGCCACCCCTCTTTCACATTCCTAATAGGCCTGAGGTTCCCACAGGTTCTCACCCATAGTGTTTCCCAGGAATCTGAGGCAGACATAACAGCAGGCACCATTTTCAAAGCCACAACACACTTCCATCGCTCGGGCTGCACATTGCCGTACCTGTAGCACACTGTCACCTGGGCCTCCCTGACTGCACACCCAGGCTCTCCCAAGGAGGATGCTGCTTCTAGACAGTGGCATACCTCGGCAGAGAACTGCCTGAAAGCTTCAGGGCGTAAGAAAGGCGGTCTTCCGCCGGGCAGTGGTGGCACACTCCTTTAATCCCATCACTCAGTAGGCAGAGGCAGGCAGATCTCTGTGAGTTTGAAACCAGCCTGGTCTACAAAAGTGAGTTCCAGGACAGCCTCCAAAGCCACAGAGAAACCCTGTCTTGAAAACCAAAAAAAAAGAAGAAAAAAGAAAAAGGAAAAAAAAAAAAAAAAGACGGTCGGTCTTCCTTATATTTTCACACTTATATTCAGAAATGGATTCTCAAAGCAGCAGGGTCCCTGGAAGGTCAGCAGGTGAGCAAACTATGCTGAGTGACTCCCTGAAGCCTCAGACATCCTGCTGGGTTGGTGCCACCCTCCATCCACTTGTCTCTAAGAATGGCAAAGACCAGCAGGGGTCTGCCCTTCAGTGACCTGTTCTGACTTTTTATTATGTGATCACTATGGCAGGAGAGGACAATTCTTTGGAAAACTAAGTCAACTTTTCATTACAAACAACCAGAACATATGTCAGGGAAGTTGAGCAGTGCATTCTTACACCACCACCAACAGAGCTGTTACAGAGATGGGAAACACGTTTCTTTGTGCTGCTTTCTTTAGCAGATAGAAAAAGTACCAGATATTCTTAGATACTAGTCCAAGAAATACTATCACATACAAAACTAAAAGCTTTCAATCCCATGATCAGTACCTTCCCTCATATAAGCATCCATACCTTTAATAGCTCTATAGTATAAAATAATCTTGAAAGAAAATGAGAAGCCAGTTTCTAGGAGATGCATTAATTCACACTGAACATCACCACTCTCACCTGCTCTGACTGAAGCACAGACAGGTCCTCACCTTCTCAGAGCACCAGCAAGCAATACAGAGATGCTACAACCAGGATCCTGCTGGGTCTGAGTATCAAAGTGGGGTTCCTTTTGTACCCCATGTCTGGGGAAGAGGGAATACTAGAGGGCTGTCTTTTGTGTATGTATAAAGTCACCAAGGGGGGGGGGGGGCTGGAGGATGGCTCAGAAGTTAAGAGCACTGTCTGCTCTTCCAGAGGTCCTGAGTTCAATTCCCAGCAACTACATGGTGGCTCACAACTATCTGTAATGGCATCTAGTGCCCTCTTCTGGCCTGCAGGGATTTACAGAAAACTGTACCTAACAAATAAATCTTAAAAAAAAAAAAAGTCACCAAGGAACTGAGGAAAAATTGAACATAAGGTAACCCTGTACTCAAAAGTTCTAGCAAACAGACAGTCTGCTGCAGACACATGTCCATCACACACTTGGTACTTTTCAATTTTGAGGACGAGGGGAACAAAGAGCTGAGAGGACAGGCCTCCTCAGCTGTCCTTGATCAACATCTGTCAAAACAACCCATGGTAACTTCAGCATTTTGCCCCTGTGCTGGGTGCTGGACCATCATATTGAAAGGATATGCAATTGGCGTGGAATCTGAAATGAAAAGTCTAAAAGTGGCCCTTTGCCAACAATTTAGAGTTTGACTTGTCTCCCATTTGCTGATAGATTTAGATAGGTGTAAGCAAACTATCTAAGCACATTACAGTAGGAAGTGACACATGGGCTCTCCTTTGGCTATGGGAAACATGTTACTGTAACCAGAGACAACATAGGTGGCGAGATTTCAAAACAGCCAGTGCACCAGGATGAAGGACCCCTGATTTATGGTTTGGATATGAAAATTGCTGACAGGAACATTTAAGTTTTTCACTAAAGGATTAGTCTTGTATGTAAAAAATTGTAGTTTTGTTAAATTTGTACATTTCCTTTGAAGCCTGTGCCTCCTGTGGCCACACTGCCTAACCTAACAACTTGGCTTTGTGGAAAAGGCTGACGGCCAGACCTGATCCCCTACAGAGTAGGCCTGCCTTCCAGGTATCTGAGAGGGCACAGGCAAACAAGAGCAGGTTCTTCAGACTGGGTGTGAAGCATCCAAAGCCCCAGTCAGGACCGGATGCTCAGGGGCCTTGTCTGTTCCATCATACCTCCTAGATCTACATCAGCAGCAAGGACAGCAGGCCCCACTCTGAAGTACAGAGCTTCAGTTTTCAACAGTGATGACTTTACAACACAAGGGTACATTTCTATGGATGCCCCCATTTTCTCCCCAGGACCAACTCTATGGATGCCCCCACCTCCCTCCCCAGGACAGTTCCTTTGGATGCCCCTGCCTCCCCTTCCAGGATTGTTTATTCCGATGGCCCCACCTCCTACCTCAGGATTAATTCTATGGATGCCCCCACCTCCCTCCTCAGGACAGTGGAATATATCTCAGTAACATTCCCATCACAAACATTATTTCCCTTTCTTTCTTTACCTTTCTATTTAAGATACAGACAAACACTTTGTTCACTGCATCCCAACCCTCACAATCCAAGAGCACATTTTAAGCCACTACCTTCCAAAAGAGGATGCTGCAGTGCCGACAGAAATGTAAAGTGTCTCCATACTGCTCTTTAGTTGGATAATATTTCTGAAGTGTAAAATACATCAACTTCCATTCGATATGACCTTTTTCTGAAAGGATCAAGTGTCTACAAAACTAGAAAAGAAAATTATGTTCAGAATTATTAGATAATTTTTAAAGCAGGCACTAGGTGTGTATATATATATATTTTAAGGCAGATTGGAGGGTCCAATTAGAGGCCTGGCTACAGCAATTTGTCTCCTTTTAGCACATGGAAACATTAGCTTCTCTTCCCTCCTCACTGTTCTATGCTCCATCAATGTTAGAGGAGGAACCCTCGTCCTCAAGTTTCTCTTCTACCTAAAGTCCTGTGGTCATTTCTTTACTCAAGTCCCACATCTACACAAGTGTTCACGTCAACCATGTCTAACCATTGGCTCCCTCTGATGTCACTATGGACTGTTACCAACAGCTCACACTGATGTCACTATGGACTGTTACCAACGGCTTCCTCTGATGTCACTATGGACTGTTACCAATGGCTCACACTGATGTCACTATGGACTGTTACCAACGGCTCCCTCTGATGTCACTATGGACTGTTACCAATGGCTCACACTGATGTCACTATGGACTGTTACCATTGGCTCCCTCTAATGTCTCTATGACTGTTATCAATGGCTCAGACTGTTACCAATGACTCCCTCTGATATCACTATGGACTGCTGATCCAAGACCTGCAGTCTTCAGCTCCCACTGAGATGCTTTCTGGCCATACTGTTGGTTTTACCATAACTCTATAATCTACTGCTAACCCTGAGAAATGAGGGTCCTATTGTGAGTCACTCATGAAGAACTAATATCATCTGTAATAACACCTTACAGATTCAGTGTTGTAATTCAATCAAGAAAATATGCACCAAAACCTGTACACACAGGTGCTAACCACAGATTCTAACCGAAGAATGTGGAATGTAAATACCGGTGCAAACAGACTCTTTTAAGCACTTCGTCATGGAACTTTAGGGCTCACAATGGCCAGCAGACATCCTAAAGGTGTGTTTGAAACCTGGCTCTCAAATTCCTGCCAGGCATTCTGCAGGCTGTTGGCAGCTTGTTGGTAGTCTCCTTGGAGGTAGGTACCAGAGCAACTGTGTGGTACACAAGGTCCATCCCAGACATACTTTCATCCATCATTTTGTTCATGGTTCTCAATCTTCCCCTGCAAGGGATCATTCAACCCCTCCTACATTTCTGTTGCCAACCCAAATCCAATCTCAAAGAGGAGAGAGCAAAATCATGGTTGACAGCTGAGAAAGATACTAAGACAGAGTAACAAGAGACAGGATGGCTAACCACCCAGGGTGCTGTAGATGTTCCCTCCTGCTCAGATGAACAGCCCAACTTTCTTGCTTCTCCCAGAGAACTCATGCAGCGGTTCTTAGGCCCAGCCTGCAAACCCCCATGCAATGTACCATCTGACACCCTCAGCCATCTTCTTGACTGGATGTCTAGGATCCAGAGCTTCCTCAGCTCTCACAAGACTTGCTCGAGGTCCCCGTAGGCATTTCCTCAGGGCTCTGCTTAGGCCCATGCTGCTCAGACCTTCCCTGGGAATAACCAACTGCTTCACCTAGGGTCCTGACTGGACCTCTACATATGCCTGACCACTACCTTTGCTTCTCTGGAACAGTCTTTTAATGGGCCTCCTCATGCCCACACAATGTTTCTTTCAAGCAAGATCCAGAGGATCGTTTAAAAGATGTCACGCATTCCAGACAATTCCCTGAATTTTCTAAGCTGGCTAAATGGAATCTTGAGTGTGGCTAAGACTCTTGGGTCCTGCTTTCTATCTACACTGTCCATGCTTGCCATGAAATGGGCACAACTTTACCCCCAACTTTACAATGCTCCTGTATCTTAATCTTGTCCATATTATAAGATATGCAGCATATCACCTGCCCCTTCCTATACCTGTATGGAATGGGTGGGTGCCACTCTACGTACTAGGCCAGGGGCCTAGACCCTGCAGAGGAGCAGAGCAGTAATGTCATTCTGGAGAAGAGTCAACTAGCAAGACACAGAAGACCTGGACATGGTGCCACCAAGTGGGAAGCATGGACTACAGGGACCCACTGATTCTTCCAGGACAACAGGCTGGTAAGAGTCAGAGCTAGAATGTACTTATCAGGTTAAAAGAACACCATGAACTTTGACCCATGTGATACAGCTCAGTTAGCAAAGTTATTTACTACTAGGCCACTTTTAGAATCATGATTTCTTTTCAATATGAAAAATGAACCTTGTGATTGACAGAAGGGAATTCAGAAGCAACTTCAGTATACTCTAGTACTATCAGGTCTCTGGATATGGAGTCCATATCCTCCCCAAGTTCACTGGAGCACCAGGGACCCTGGATGGAGACCAATCAACTTGACTCAATGGTACTGCACCACACACTTACCTGCTTCTCAGCAAAGTGGTACTGACATAGTTTCTTCCACAGCCGCCTGTCTTCACTGAGCATGTACAGGGTTGGTGTCACCTGGCCCAGCGTGACAATGTCCCAGCCATCTGAGAAACGGTACAGGATGTTGTTCAGCATGTGCAAGGGCAGGTCACTGAGTGTGAGGCCAGAGTTTACCTGCTGAAAGGAGACACAATGGTGTCAAATGGAGAAAACATACTCACACCGGCTTCCTCCAACAGAAAATAATGGTCATGCTATACAGATAACTTCAGTGTGACCATAGGAAAGAAGTCTGTCCTCTAATGGTCACTTCAGTTTTACCTCTCAGAGGGGCTGACATGTGGCAATTTCCTGTGCTCAGGAAGTTGCACCCTTGGACATGTCCCAGCTCTAGCCTAACTAAAATTTACCCAGAAAATGGTGGCTCTGAAACATGGAACTGATGATGACAATGACTGTGCTTTATGACAGCAATGGAAATAAGGTCGTAAGGTGGTCAACACCAGGAATGGTGTCTATAAGGTCTCCCCAGCTTTATTTGCATCTATCTTTAAATCTGCATTTTCTCTTTATTGACAATTTAACACCTATTTAAGATACATAATGTGGGGTTAACATAAAATAAACAAGCCTGTATCACAGAAGAAAGATGAGATTGAAAGGACAACATGGAAAGAGAATGCCTGCTAGCTATTCATCTGACAGGGGTTGATTTACAGACGCTAGGAAATCACAGAACCTGATGATAAAGAAGCCCCAATAAATCCTATTTAAAAATGGGTGAATTGGACATTTCTCAAGAGAATATGCAAATAGCCAACAAGTATATGCAAACATTCAATACCACTAATCGGAGAAATGCAAATGAAAATCACAATGGGGCACCTCCCACACCAGTTAGAATGGCAGTTACTGAAACAGAAAATAACAAATGATAGTGAGGGAGAAAAGGGGGAACTCTCATAGACTGCTGATACAAATGTAAATTTGCAAGGAGAAGAGCAGGCTTGAGGTTCCTGAAAAAAAAAAAAAAACAGAAACAGAATTACCATATGACCCAGCAATGTTGCTAATGGGTATGCAGTCAAAGGCACTGAAATCACTGCTTATAGTAGCAGGATTCACAGTAGCCCAGACATGGAATCACCCTAGTGTCCACTGACACATGACTTAATAAATGATTCAGCAACAAAAATAATGAAATACTGTCATTTTTAGCAATATGAATGGAACCATAGATAATCCTGTTATGTGAATATGTGCATAATAAGACAAAATCATATTCTAAGTTCATGCAGAAATGAAAAGGTGGGTCTCAGTAAAGTAAATAATGGTTACCATGGTCTAGGGAAAGATAAAGAAAAGAGGGTACAGAATGCATGGCTAATGGGTCTAGGAATACAGTTGGCTAGGAGGAAGAACTTCTATTGCTCATTAGCACAATGGTATATAACTATGGTTAACAACAATTCATTGAAAATCTCAGAAAACTGGTAAATGCATGAGGTGATAGTCAGCAACTACCCTGACATAGTCATTACACACCACAGACATGTAAAGTATTACAGGCACCTCTTAAGTACATACAATTACTGTGTCAATTAAAGATAAGTTTAAAAAAAATTAAAAAAAAAAAAAAAACCAGGCGTTGGTGGCGCACACCTTTAATCCCAGCACTCAGGAGGCAGAGGCAGGTGAATCTCTGTGAGTTCGAGACCAGCCTGGTCTACAAGAGCTAGTTCCAGGACAGCCTCCAAAGCCACAGAGAAACCCTGTCTCGAAAACCAAAAAAAAAAAAAAAAGATAAGTTTAAGCCAGATGTGGTGGCACTCACATTTAGTTCCAGCACTGCACAGCCAGAAGCAGGAAGATCTCTGTGAGTTCAAGGTCAGCCTGGTCTACAAAACCAGACAGAGCTACATAGTAAGATCCTGTCTCTAAAAAAGAAAAAAAAATCCAATCAAAACCAAGAAGACAAAAGACAAACATACCTTAGTCATCTGAAGATTCTGCAGCTGCTGTTGCCAGCTGAGAACAGTTTCTAAGCGGCAAATCCAAATGTTGATGTTTCCCACTAAGACAGATTTCCCCACCCCTCTAACAAGGATGCAAAGTGTAGAGCTCAAGTCTTGGAGAAGGTCTTTGATAAGGCGAGGATTCTGATGGTCATCAAGAACTGAAATGAATAAAAACAAGCCACAGATTGATACTGCAAATACCACTTCTAACAGTTATCTAGTTCTGTAACCCAAGTGTCCATTGACTGATAAATAAGAGCAAAATGTGATCCCTTCATACACTGGGTATCACTCAACCTAAAGAATGAAGGACATTGTGACCTCCTCCATGTGGAGGAGCCTTGAAGATGTGTGACATGGAAGGGAGCCAATTACAGGAGGATGAATAGAGTATAATCCACTTGGCAAAATCCCCAGAGTCAGCAGACAGAAGACGGGAGGAGGTAGGGGGAGGGGGTAGGAGGATGGGGCTGGCCAGGGGCAGCTGGTATGTGATGGGTGCAGAGAAGTGGCAATGGCTTCACGATGGACATACAAAGCTTTAATAGTGGACTGAGAACTGATGAAAATGAAATACCTATGAAAATGTCATAGGTATTTTTACAACATTAAAAAAACCAGGTTCTAATTTCATGGCAATTTAAAAGTGACATAATTTTTAGATATTAGAACTCTAATAAGAATTTTTAGTTTTAAAATGCTTTCTAAGTTTTTGGTTGGGTCTACAATTTTAAAGTAGTCAGTGTACATTTTCTTTTGTTCTATGATAAGGAGAATATTTAGCATGGCTCATATACATGGTCACAAGTTACTGCATGTGCATAAGCTAATGGCATAAAATAAATACCCGATAACTGATAAAAGGCAAACTTACTAAATTAAAAGGAAAATTATGATCCATATGGTGTCTAAGTCAAAAAAAGCTGCATTCTTACTGATTCTAGAACCCAACAGTCAAATGAACTATGGCTGGTTAACAAAGGAAAGAAAACAGAGTTAGCTCTTTCCTGGTGTCACAGTATTCACATTATTATTTTTGAATATATACATACTGTGGAAAGATAACAGAAGAAAAGCCCTACTCCTTGCACAAAATTTCCAATTAACATTTAGACTTAAAATTTCTGTCGATGCTGGTGCAATAGTGGCATGACTATCTTTTGGAGGACAACCAACTCCTTTCTGATTGGATTTGAATACTTGCTCCATGGCAAGGGACACATGCCTGGTACTGTAAACTTGTTCAAAAGCCTGTGGCTAGGGAAGTAATAAGACCTAGGTGGGGAACCTACTACTGCTGTTTTGCTGAATGGACATGTCAAACTGTTTTCTCAAATATTTATTTTATAATACCCATTGCCTAGTGCTGCTCTCAGTCTTGGTCAGAAATGCTTATGTTTGCAGTGGGCAGTAGTTAATACAGAGACTCTTCACCAGTCAAGGTGATGAGAATGCCTGACTAGAAAGTGCTCAGACCTAAATGAAAAGACTTTAAGAACCCAGAGGATGGGAGACAGAGCTACGAAAAGCTGCCTTCTGGATAACCCATGACCACTGCTATGAGCATACATCATGCACATACAGCAGCTATAGCTACCTGCTAAGTATAAGGGGGACTGGTTGGGAAGAAGGGGTCAGCAGGTTTTATGCTATGCTGTGATGAAACATCATGACCAAAGCAAACTGGGAGGAAAGTGTTTATTTCAGCTTGCAACTGTAAGGTCACATCCATCACTGAAGGAAGTCAGAGCAGGAATTCAGAGCAGGAATCTGGAGGCAGGAGCTGATGCAGAGGCCATGGAAGGGTGCTGCTTGCTGGCTTACTCCATGGCTTGCTCAGCCTGCTTTCTTATAGAAGCCAGGACCACCAACCCAAGGATGGCACCACTCACCATGAGCTGGGCCCTCCCCCATCAAATCACTAATTAAGAAATTACCCTGCAGGCTTGTGCACAACCTGATTGTATGCAGGCCTTTTCTCAATTGAGGTTCCCTCCTCTCAGACGACTTTAGCTTATGTAAAACTGACATAAAACTCTCCTTCACAGCAGGGGTGGGGAGGGAAATAGAAACAAATACAACCCACAATAGCATGGAACTGTCAAAATGTTATGAAATTAAAAGCAGCGATGACTTCCCAATCCTATAAATACACTGCACTAAAAACTACTGAATTGTGTAAATGGCCAAGTTGTACACTATATAGTTTTTTTTTTGTTTGTTTGTTTGTTTGTTTGTTTGTTTGTTTTGTTTTTTGAGACAGGGTTTCTCTGTGTAGCTTTGGAGCCTATCCTGGCACTGGCTCTGGAGACCAGGCTGGCCTTGAACTCAGAGATCCACCTGCCTCCGCCTCCCGAGTGCTGGGATTAAAGGCGTGCGCCACCAACGCCCAGCTTGTACACTATATTTATTTATCAATAAATATTTTATTTAAAAAAACCACAAGTGTTTAGTGATAATCTTACCTTTTTGCACGATTTTATCCAGGATGTTGAAGTAGTTCTTCTGCGCCACTCCACTCAGTGAGGTCAGCTGGGACTTGGCAATCAGCTGCAGCAGCTTCAAGATAAGAAGGGGGAGCCAAGCTGTGAGTCGTTTATGATGGAAACACCACACCCACATACTGGAGCTCAGTGTGAAATGTACTGACATGTGGCATTCCAGACAAGGTGGCTGCAGGAGGACTGCTGTCCACGGGAACTGAGGGAACCTCACTACAGCTGCTGAGGCAAGAGCAAGCCTGTTGAATACAGTCGGGGTACTCTCACTCTCAACAGGCCCACTGCAGGCAGGTTGAGATAAATAAACGCTCAGCCTTCCAGCTTTACACCTCACCTCAGCAGAGAGCTAATAGATTTCCATCATGCTCCTTCATGCTCTGATCCATTCATTATCTAAAGTTGATTCGACAATCAAGAAATCAACAGGCCCCTCCTTCCATGTTGAAATTTAAAATGATCACCCTATGCGATCTCTTTAAAACACCACTTCAAACACATCGTAGAAAACACAGGGACCAGGAAAGATCACTGTGCAGCTATCCAAGCAATGCCAATTCTGCTGATAAAGAGATGGAGCTCATCCTGATGCCTGGGCCTCCCTTAGCCCTACTACCCCTATTACAAACTGACCCTGTTGGCACTGCAAAGGGGCTGTGTCCTTCATGCTCCTTGGTCCTCTCCATTTTTGTTTATATATTCCTCTGTATCTTTGCCATCCTTCTATTCCCAACTTCAGCTCTCTACATTCTGGGTACTGATTGTGTATAACCTGGGTTTGGGCTGTGCTTTTCAACCCAATATGGAAACATTTACTGACATAAGAAAGGTTTGGTCTGCCAGGCAGTGGTGGCACACGCCTTTAATCCCAGCACTCGGGAGTCAGAGGCAGGCGGATCTCTGTGAGTTCAAGACCAGCCTGGTCTACAAGAGCTAAATCCAGGACAGCCTCCAAAAAAACCAAAAAAAAAAAAAAGAGAGAGAGAGAGAGAGAGAGAGAGAGAGAGAGAGAGAGAGAGAAAAGTTTGGTCTTAGTTCTGACATGTTTTTATAACTAAACAACAACAACAAAACTCTTTATTCTTTCCCTATAGTTCTTTCAAACTTCAGTGGGCTTACATTCTTTTGTCCTAAGATGCTTTTGTAATTGCAATTCTACATGACTCTCCCACCCTCTGAGGTCTCGGACATATCCAGCTGTCAGTTGCCTGTTCTAAGTCATGATAAACCTGCCGCCTTCTTTTCTCTCCTCCTTTCCACAGCTCCATTTTAGGGAACAACATTTGTAATTACAGGTAAAGCAGTCAGCTCATTGTCTCTCTTCTCTCCTCCCTGGTACAGCTGCTACACTATTTCTTTATCCCCAGGGTCTAGGGCACTCAGCACATTCTGCTTGGTTCCCTGGTCCACAGTTCGCTATCATCTTAGACCAAGGCTGGATCATGAAGAAACAGAACCTCTGCAGACTTGTAATAGAGACTACAGCAGTGACGAGGGCTCTCATCACTGAAGAGCCCAGCCCATGGCTTTGCTGCTGAATTCTACCAGACTTTTAAAGAACCAGTTTCTTCTCAAATTATTCCAAGAAGGGGAAGGAATTCTAAATGCATACCACAAGGCTAGCAGTATCAACACCAAAAGCAAAGCAGGATACAGCAACAAAACACTACAGGACAAAATCCCTGATTTAAAAAACAAAAACAAATAAAATAAAAAAACCCAGATGGTAAAATCTGTTCACCTGCCCAATTCCAGGAAACAGAAACCAACTGCACATCAAGTTTATTCACCACCACGTAAGATTCACTTCAAGAATAGTTCAACACAGGCAAACCCAATGAGCCTTATATACACCAGCATCATAGGGAAAATGCATAATCATCTCAATGAAATTGCAAAGAGCATTTGCTCAAAATCGCAACTTTGTATGATAACAGATGAAGTTTAGAAGGGACAAAAGGAGAGTAAACTTGAAGACACAGAAAGAAGTAAGCCCAGGGCTGCCATCATCACGAAAAGGAAACACAGAAGCTCTCTACAATCTCAAACAAGCCACTTCACTGTTTTGATTCCAGACAGAGCCTTCATCTCTTACAATGCTTCTGCCAGAGTATTTTTTCAGAGCAACAGGAAACTATTCCCCTCATTAGCAGGGCCAGGGGAATTATATTTTGGACGGGTACAAATACCAACTCTATCAAGAAAACTTGTTATTTAGAAACAGGAAGTCACTTCTACACTTCTACTTTGTAAAAAAGATTCTTTACAAAAGTATTTTAGAGCTGGTAGAAGCACTTCTATTATAGAACTGGACTGAGTCTTCCCTGGATTCTTAACTCCTCGACACTTAGACAAGCCAGAGTGAATCTCAGTTTCATCACCAGAACAGAGGCACCTAGACAGATGCTCTGCAAGAGCTTGGGAAACAGTAGCCCATGCCACTAGGCACAAGAAGAACCTGTGACCGCTTCTCCTGCCATCCATCAGCCACCTAGAATCCTATCAAAGATCACACTAGCTGAGGCAAGAGCAATTCATCTCTGTCCTTGCGTCAACACTTGTCAGTGCCTGGAAGGCAGTGAAAGTCTCTGAGGACCACTGGAAGCAGGGCTAGCAGGTGTGAGCACCCAACTTGTGCTTTATGGAAGCAGAGCTAACAGGTGTGAACACCCTACTTATGATTTATGGAAGCAGGGATAGCAGGTGTGAAGACCTACTGTGTTTTATGTACAATGCAGTGAAGGGAATGAGCCACAAAAGCAAACTATACAGCAAAATCTTTTCCTTCTGAATGTAGCCTGAAACAGAAACCTCTAAAAAGCTATTGATGATGCAGCAAGACTTTGTGGAGCTCTATGTTGTGTAAAATTTCTCTTGTCTCTTAGCCAGTTGTTCTTTGTGTATAACAAGGCTCATTCTGAGTGAACACATGAAACAGAAAATGCAGATGGAGTCATCAGGGGTCCTCCTGAACTCGACTGTCTGAAGTGTTTCCAAGAAAGTGGCCTGGAACATCTTAGTTCATATTGCCTCTGGGCAGGAAGGTCTCACCATGCTTGAGACTTGCATCTGTGACCTCAGTGTTACAAGTCCCCCATGTCTTCTCCTGAGCTTGTTCCTTTCCTTTCTCTACTATAAACAGATAAACCTTTGTGCTTCTGTCAAAGGTACCTTGAACAGCTCACATTTGTAACCTTTAAAACAGTCAAGAGTCAGGAAAGCTGTTTCTGAAATAACCACTTACTTTGACCACGTATGTGAACCTTCTAATATCCTGAATTGCACTTGAGAAGTCTAGCCGGTTGAAGGCTTCTCCCAGGGTACAGTAGCCATGTCTCTAGAAAATATTAGACAAGCAGTGAGCTCAACAAGCCAAGTAAAATGAGCTAACAGGTGATGTCAGTTAGGGAGCATAAAAAGCACTGTGTTAATTCTAAAAGTTTATGTCTGATATAAATGAGAATAGAGTAAAATATAGCAATGCTAAATTTAAGCCAATTGTGCATAACTGAGACACGAGGCACTGACAGTTAGTTCACACTGCTGGTATAATGTCAAAGAGATGTAAGTATTCATGAAACACCATTCTGCTTTCCGTTGCTGGGGACAAGGCAGGGTGAATGTGAGGCTTCAGGATGCTGGTGTTGCATACCCACAGCAGTATGTGTCTGCAGGGAACTCTGACTGCCCTGGTGGAAGTGTGCTCAACCACCAAGGAGTAAGCCTTAGAGGGACTGCTCTGAAAAATAGCTGTGAGGATGCCTGAGTTTATATGACCCAATCCTGACAATGGCTGGTTTCCAGGCTGGGATCATGGGAGCTGAGCAACTGAAAATGCAACTGCTATAATGAGATGCACAGGTCTGGGAATCAAAAATAAAAGGTAATTTCTCCTCAGTGTCATAAATATTGCTGTTCTGTCTGAGAGGTCTTCTGTCTTCTGTTTCTGTCTGTACAAGCTTCACCCCAGGACAAGAAGAACTTAAACCCTACCTTCTGCATGTGAAATACCTAAATCTATGCACAGATTTTCAGTTTAGAGTAAAACTGGAGGACAGTAAGGAACCACACAGTTCCTTTGTGACAAGTGACTTTGAGTTTGAAACAGGTTAGTGGGGCTGTGGAAGAGCAGCAGAGGCAGCAGCATGTCTGCTGGCCTCATGTGGAAACTACACAGCACTAACAGTCTTAACGTGTACAACATGAAGTTACATGTTCACACAACACATCAATACCCACGATTTCTGAGCATCTGCTACTTGTAAAACATTTCTGTGGAAGCAAAGCACAGACTTCAAAGTACAATCTGAAGTGCATCTCAGTTTCAGGGACAAAATTCTGATGGAGGTGAAGGTACCTCATTGGGGTAACTACTATCTCACATGGAACAGGTTGGGGTGTCACTCAAGAGCATCTGTCTTCAAAGGCTGCCCTGTGTGAGTACCAGAGATAAAGAGGATAGCACAGGACCAGATGCAGATCCAACAGCTAGCCCTGGGTTCTTTGTAAGCCTGTCAGACTCCATCCCAAGAAGCCACAGGGCATCCTGGAGACATATTCCACTTGTTGATTTTCTCAGCTAGAATTCACATGACTCACAAAGTAGGTGAGATATTTCATCAAGCTTGGCTTTGTATAGATCAGGTCATCTCTGCCGGTCTTTCAATGGCATGTATGTCAAGGGCTGGACTTGTGCTATGCCCACTTAATAGCATTAGCCATCACCAAGTCAGCTCTCTTTCTCACAATCAAGTGTCTTCTAGGAAGTTGAGATAGTTTAAAGATGTAATTGGGCGACGTGCCTGCCACAAAGTCTGAAAGCTTGAGTTCAATCCCCAGGACCCACATGGTAGAAGAAGAGAGCTGACTCCTGCAAGTGGTCTTTTGACTTCCCTATCCCCGCCATAGTATGTGGGCACATGTGCACATGCGCACGCGCGCGCACACACACACACACACACACACACACACACACACACTGAATAAATGTGATAATTTTTTAAATAAGGATATTACTAACATTTCTGGGACACTTAACTAGTCCTAACCTCATAATTATGTAATAGAAATTATAACCCTGTTTTTTTTCCAACAGCTATAAAATAAAGCAAATACAGATGTTCAAGGTCTATAAAAGGAACTAGGTTTACTTAAAACTAAGTAGAGAAACAAGAAACACAGTGTAGCCAACTGGTTTATGTGGTGACTCATAGGAGAGCTTTTGCCAGCTCAGCAATCAAAAGCAGAGAAAAAGCCCAGGGTTCTGCAGGGCCAACCTATGCAGTTTGCTGTGAGCCACTTTGCATTATGGAAGGCAGGGCTCATGGGCATCTTATTCCCCCAAACCCAGGGTAAAGGAAAAACTTCAGCAGCTGCAGCTCACACTGTCAGAACAGGGATCAAACACACAGAAATGTATGTTTGGTTGTTAAGGAAAACCCTTGCTGATTTAGAGATGCACGGGGATCAAAACTCATGTGCCACACACACTACAAACACCAAAATGACACACATGTGTGACACACACAGTCCATGCACAAACATATCACAAATATGTATGGTGCATGTGCACCATACATTCTACACAAACATGCCATATGCCACACACATGTAAACATCACATATACATTATATGCCAAATACATTCCATATATACAAATATACAACATAGCACTCACAGGTACACACCATACACATGCACATAACACACATATCCATCATAATGCATAAACATATACCACACATATATCATATAACACAAACATACTACATGCATTTTACACTACAAATACATTGAAAACCATACACACACCTGTATCACACATACCCAGTGCACAGCCATGCACATTATCAATGAATACATGTACATGATTATAATCACTGCTGCAAAAATCTGTCATATATACATATACATGTTAGAATGTGAGTTATAGACCTTGTATTACTAAAGAAATAAATAATATGTGGCATTCAACAGAAACAATACAGTATACACTCTTCCAATGGCATACTTACTTCTTTTGTGCTTTCTTTATGGACATAGATCCATTTTTCACGATAAAAACCTAGAACAAAGATGAAATGTCTTTAAAATCAGGCAAATAATTTCAACCTCAAGATTTTAGGGAGGTTGTAAGGGAGGAGAGACTAGCAAGATGATCTTACTGATCCAGTTAAGATATGTTTTTTGCTTGAGTAAGCGTAAACAGTACACTCTGTTCCCTAATATCACCTAAGTGCTCAGATACCTCAACATGAAATAAAAATCTGATAGTATCAAATCTTATTAACTTAGAAGAAAATTGATATTGTTATATCAGATGCAAATGCTTATACAAATTCTATAATATTTTCTCTGTATCATTATACACCTAACAGACAGTTCTACTCTTTTATTACCTGTTATGGCCACACATGGTACATATAACTAAGATCATGAAGTTTCTCCTTGTGCTCTACCTTCTTCATACCTTAACAGGTATTCATAGCATATGCCAAGGTGGGCAGGGCTGCCACAGAGCCCAAAGTCCCCTCAAGCCCTTCTACCTGTACATGGTTGCCCCACGTCCTAGCTCTGCCCACTTGTGGCTCCTGCCCACTCCCCAGTGGCCCCGCATCTATCTAGACCATCCCTCCTAGGAGACTTTCTGTTCAGAAAGAGCTCAGTTTGGGACTGCATCTGGCTACTCAGATGCAGAGGCACACTTCCAGTTTACCAGTGTTGTATAAACCTTACCAACAGACAGCTGAGTTACAGGCAGTCTGATTACCAGACGGACAGGCAGCACTGAGCGTGGTGCTTGCTTGCACATCTTCATCACCCTGTACCTCATTAGAAAGCACTGCCAAGCAATCCATCATGTTGACATATATATCCCACAAATAAAAGATTATAAAATCATCAATGAAAACACTCTTACTGTGAGCAGCTGTGTCAGTTCCAAAATGTTCCTTCTTCCTCTTCTTGGCTGCATATTCACACTCATTATTGAATATTTCTTCTTCACCATTATTCAAAATACTGAAATAAAGATACTTCATTAAAGTAAGTTTTTCTTTCTTTCTTTTTTGTTTTGTTTTGTTTTTTTAGAGTCAGGGTTTCTCTGTGTAGCTTTGGAGCCTGGCCTGGAACTCACTCTGTAGACCAGGCTGGCCTCCAACTCACAGAGATTCACCTGCCTCTGCCTCCCCAGTGCTGGGATTAAAGGCATATGCCACCAACTCCTGGCCAAATAATGACACTGTTAAGTCCTGGTGAGACCTAGCTAAATTTCAGGAGTCATGAGTTGGAGACTCAAGGGTTAATCACTACATTTTTCTTTTCATTTTGAAGGAAATAAGATTTATTCTTATTTCTTTTAGAAATGTTCCTCTAGAAGCGCCTGGCATGCTTTAGACTCTCCCAAACATCAAAATACTTTAAAACCTGAACATTATAAACAAAACCATAAAAGCACTGAAAACAACCTGGTAGCAATATGACTATGGAGCTAAAAGTTGCTATGTCCCTGGTCAAAGTCAAGTAAACATTAACGTTCCTGTTTATCATCTACATTTTTCAAATTAGCTGGCTGAAGCTAACTCTTACTGAACTGTGGATTTTCTTAATAACTTTCTATCAAATATGCTGAGCTACAGTTGTATTGTAACACATTTAAAGTATGTTAGTATTCTTTTTGTTTTTATGAAACAAGGAATTCAAACCAAGCAATAACAACTCAAACATCTTTTCTTTAAAAAAAAAAAGTTTCCTCTTTGTAATAAAAACTATGCCAGCCTGGTTTACAGATTTGAGTTTCAGGACAGCCAGGGTTACACAAAGAAACCCTGTCTCAAAAAAAAAAAAAAAAAAGGAAGGAAGGAAGGAAGGAAGGAAGGAAGGAAGGAGAGAAAAGTCTCAAAAGCAACCCACATCATAAACACTAAAAATGCATATCTGGGGCCACACTTAAAAGCTAGTTTTCAGCTGAAAACAAGGAAAAAAGTACTATAGAGACAAGCTGGCTGGTTGGAGCCTCATAACACTCAAGACCATTTATTTCCCCATTACTGATCTTTTTTAATTCATTTACTATTTATTTATTTTTATTTTATGTGCACTGGTGTTTTGCCATGGGTGTCGGATCCCCTGGGACTGAAGTTAAAGACAGCTTTGAGTGGCCTTGTTGGTGCTGGGAATTGAACCTGGGTCCTCTGGAAGGGCAGTCAGGGCTCTTAACAACTGAGCTATCTCTCCAGTCCCACTGCCATCACTGTTCTTTGATGAGAAAATTGTGTAAAAGCCACTTTCATCCACAACCAGTGTGCAATGTTGGTAAAACAGCTGAGTTTACCACATTAAGTTTGTTCATCCCAGCACTCGGGAGGCAGAGGCAGGTGGATCTCTGCAAGTTCAAGGCCAGCCTGGTCTCCAGAGCGAGTGCCAGGATAGGCTCCAAAGCCACAGAGAAACCCTGTCTCGAAAAACCAAAAAAAAAAAAAAAAGTCTGTTCACTACTGTCACAATTAAACAGCACAGGCACTGGCAGTAAATCATCCAGGCAGCCAGAGGGCATCGGAATCTCACAACTGCTTTCTGTCACAGGCATGTAATGACCCAACTCCAGAGCACATAGGTCCCTGAATCTTACCATCTCATATTCACTGTTACTAGTCTGTTATCATTGACTCAGACACTAGAGGGAGACACTCTTGAATCTGAAAATGAAATGCTATTGTTCTCCCAAAACCAGCATCACAGAAAGGAGAAACTACAGAAAGGATGGCCAACCAGCTTCAAAGCTGGGGCTCCCTGTATACTGGTTATAGGAGGTATATCAGGCACAGCATAGCTCGTGGGTGCTCATCAACATATCTGACATGCCACCATCAGATGGTGACTCTGCTGACAGAGTCCTTAGGTACTGCCGAGTCCTTCCTAACCTGCCTAGGGTTTGATGGGAACCAGGGGACTTGGGAATAAGATCACCAGGAGACCCGTAGGTCATAATCAAAGGAAAATGCCTCAGGGACTACAGGACTAGGAATCCACAACCCGTTTCTTGTCCAGACTTTTCTTAGCTTTCTCAGGCCCTATGTTTAGACACATGAGCCCCACAGAGGGCGTCATATGCAACAAGTCTTTCTCTGTCCTACTCCCAAACAAGCCAGCTTCCAAACAAGGACAGAGACTTATTAACTATGAAAGCTCAGTCTTAGTATAGGCTTGCTTCTAAAAAGCTCTTGTAACTTAAATTAAACCATTTCTATTAATCTATGTGCTGTCACCTGGCTAATGGTTTTTACCTCATGTCCTGCTCCTCTGTGTCTGGTTATTCACTCCCCCTTTCTTCTTTCCAGACCTATCTCTGTTCAGAAGTACTGCCTATACCTCCTGCCTAGCTATTAGCCATTTAGCTTTTTATTAAGCCAGTCACAGTGACATATCTTTACACAGTATAATCAAGTATCTCACAACAGCAAATCATTAACTAGTTGATATTTTTATGGGGTATTTTAAAGTAGGAAGAGGTCATACTTTTTTGATGATGGTTTTTATACTGCCAGGAATACAAAAATGAAAAAGTGAAGGGGAAAAATGCTTCCAGGATTAAAATTTAACACATAAAAATATTAATAAAAGTATAATAATATACAAACCTTTCAGTTTTTCATATATATAAGCTATCAGTCAACTACATTTCAGAGCAAACACTTCCTATTTTATAGCCTTTGGTCCTATGAGCAATATAAATATCCTTTATCCCACTTTAAAAAAAAAAAACAACAAAAGAATCTCCAACAACAAATCCCCCAAGGGATAGGCAAAGAACTTTAATTTGTCCAAGAAAGAAATGCAAATTGGCTAAGGATGTATCAAAATGTTTGCAACATCATTAAACCTTAGGGAAATACAAGTTGATACTGTCCTAACACTTTACACTCATTAAGATGGCTACTATGCTGTCCAAAGTGCAGAAAGCAAGTGTTGGTGAAGATGTATAAAATGAGGAGCTTTTTGCACTGGTGGTGAAAATATAAAATGCTGCAGCCAGCATGGAACAGTATAGTAAGTCCTTAAATACTGAGCATATTACCATCTAAACAGAAAGATCTGAAAGCAGGTCTTGAAGAGCCGTCCACACTCCTACATTCATGACAGTCCTAGTCGCAGCAGTGACATGCCTAAGCATTCCCCATGTCTATCAACAACTGCACATTTAAACAAAACATAACTAATCCATACAACAAAATATTCAGTCTTAAAAAACAAAGGAACTTTACCAGTACATGCTAAACACACCTGGATCTGAGGGCACTATCATAAAACAGATAATCTAGTCAAAAAAGGGCAAGCAGAGAAAGCATCACAAGTGGTATTGGAGTCTGAGGGAAGGGATAGAGTTATTTACTGGGGACAAGGCAAGCTTAGTGCTGGGGAGGTGGCTCAGTGGCTAAGAGTGCTGCTGTGCAAGCAGGAAGGCCTAAGCTCAAATCCTAAGCACCCATGTGAAAGCCGGGTATGGATGAATGTCCCTGTAATCATAACTGTCAGGTGGAGACAGGCAGATTAGGGAGCTGTATGGACAGCAGGCCTGGCCTGAGCCTAGTGAGCAAAACTGTAAATGACAGAACTCTACCGTGACCTGACAAACACAGGAGGCCATACAGGCTGGCAGCAGCAATTCTACTGAACTGAGACTTACATGCTGTGGTTGATGGTGTACTGGCCATTCTCACTTTGGAGCTCTTGGCTACAAGAGTCACATCTTTTCCATCCATCCTCGGTTTTAATCCAGCTCCATCCAGGGGATCTCCAGTCCTGACCCAGAAATGGCATAGTTCTCCTGCTTGTAAAAAAATTAGTTTACATTAAAAGTATAAATACACATAATGAACACAAAATTCTTCTTGCCAGTCAGTGGTGATGCACACTTTTAACTCAGTACTCGGGAGGTAGAGGAGGGTAAATCTCTGTCCAGCTCATATAAAGTATGTGTTTCTGTGTGGTGCTTGCTTGTACACACAATCTTAAAATATGAATACCATACTAGTGATAAAGACAGTAATACATATTTAACTACAGAAGATGGCAACACAGCCAGGAAGGCCTTGAGAACAGACCATGGTTTTGTGTGTGTGTATACACACACACACACACACAGTAAATGGAGACGCAAGGAGAGAAATAGCAGCCATAGGCACAGAGGATGGAAAGATTAAGGCTACAATGTATGTGAGAGATCTGAAAGACATAAGCACAAGTTTGGTTGAGCTGAAGTCCTAAGACGGTGACCAGATCTTCACACAATGAGGTGTTTGACTCTACCCTCTGAGACTCAGTTTTTGAACATTGGATTAATGTGAACAGTGTTGTTTAGAAAGATAATTTTCTAGGGTCTGTAGCATAAAATGAAAAGGGAAAACAGAAACAGAAAAAAAAATAACTCCTGAACCAACAGTTGCTGATCTATGTCTTGTGTAGACCCATGCCCTCAGCTAACAAATATCTTAAGCCTGATAAAGTACAAACACTGCACTAACCTAGGAAGCCACTGCCTGTTAGGTATATTTATCTTTTAGCTTCAAAAAATTGTAATAGCATTTATAAAAAGAGCCATTGTGGCATTTCTGATTTTGTTTAGGTTGCCATCAACTCTATGTGTACTATAATTAATTGACTGAATAATTTGATGAGAAAATAGTTGAGTATTAACCCTTTCAGCAGTTAAGTGGATTTGTTAAGGCTTGGTAGCCAGTAAACTACAAAAATAAAACCCTTATGTCCCAGATTTTTCCAACCTAGAGGAAAATACTTGTTTAAAAATTTATTTCAAGACTTGTCATGACATGATCTTGGGATGGCAGTATTAGTTCACTATTTTAAAGCACAATCTATGTAGCCATAAACTAAGGCACAGATCCTAGAAGCAAATTTATTGATTTACAGTAACAAAAGGGTATAGGGCTATAGATCAATAGTGTAGTGCATGCCTAGTGTTCATAAGCTCCTGGGTTCAATTCCAAGTACCATTAAAAAAAAAAAAAGCCACTGGGGCTAGGTAGGGAGCATATACCTGTCCATCTGTCCACCTGTAATCTTAGCATTCAAGTAATTGAAGCAAGAATTCAAGGCCAACCTGAGATCCCAAGCAAGTCCCTTCTCATAAAACAGAAGACAAGTTGCAGTTTAAAAGGTCACGTTATCAGTTGTTGTTTTTTTTTTAATGTAATGTGAAGCATCTAATTTTGTGTATCAGAAAATAATGTTACTAGAAGATTTTAAATGATGACAGCCCACTTTTTATGGGAATTTACCTACTTGGTTAAAAGACAAGAACTGATAGAATTTCATTAATATATTTAAAATTCAAATTACCTTTATTTTGAGAATTTGCAAATGCTAAGGCAGTCTAGTTTCTTTTCTGTTGCTGTGGTAAAATACTCTTGACTAAAACCTTTACATAGGAAAGGATTTACTTCATTTCATAGGTTACAGTCTACCCTCCATGTGAGGGGGAAGAACTCAAGCAGAAACCACAGAAGAATACTATTTACTGGCTTGCAACTTGTGTCTTGCTAAGCTAGCTTTTTTCATACAGCCCAGTCCCACCTGCCTAGGGCTGTACAACCAACAGCACACTGGGCCATCCTACAACAATTAGCAACCAACAAAATACCCACTAGCTCCCCATAGGCCAGCCTCATGGAGTTAATTCTCAGCAGAGGCTCCCTCTTCTCAGGTGTGTCAAGCTGACACCAAGATTAACTATCATATAAAGTAAAAACCATAAATTATTTCTGAAAAATTAATATATGTGTATAAGTAATGTCTCAGTCTACTCAGCTGCAACACAGCTTGTATAATCTGCACTGACTTTTTAATATATTTACTTTTATTTTATGTGTATATGAGTGTTTTGTTTGCAGTACCCATTAAAGGCCAGACAAAGCATCATATCTTCTTGGAACTGGAGTCATATTCAGTTGGGAGCCACCATGTGGGTGCTGGGACCCTAACCTAGTCCTCTGCAAGAGCAGCAAGAGCTCCTGACCACTGAACCATCCAGCCAGCCCCTATCTGCACTAAAATTTACGCACAGCAATTGCTAATTAATGCCAGGAAGCACTTGAGGTTGAATACATTTAAGTCTTTTCTGGGTTTCTATTTCACATGGCCAGACACCAAGGATCGGGGTATGGTAGGATAACAAGATGAATTCTTCAAATTCATTTCCTAGTAGAAACTCCTAAGAGCAAAGATCCTGAACTAAGCAAATATATATTTTTTTTCCTTTTTTTTCCTTCTTCTTCAACAAGCAATGTTCTCCTACTGAATGAAAACAGTAACAACAAACACTAGAACTCAGAATGGGCTCAACACTAATTCATGTGAATTACACCTAGTTTAGTCCTCACACTAACCTGTAAGGTAGGAAATACCCTCATTTTACAAATTTAGTTCTCTACTTCGAGGTTCAGTGGTTGAGCACTTGCTTACCATACCCAAGACCATGTGTTCACCCATCATATCACAACAAAAACTCCATTTTATACCTGAGAGTACAGAAGCAAAGAATTCAATAGGATGGGATTCAAAATTATGGACTCTCATCCCACAATCCATGCTCTTAGCCACTATATTTATAGTAATCCTGACAGCCTATTAAAACAGATTCCAGGAAATTACAAGTTTATGTGTTTTTTGTTGTTGTTTGCCTTTTTTTCTTTTTTTTTTTTTTACTTTATATGTGTGGTGCTCCATTTGTAAATTACATGAAAAAATAATTAGGATGTACATCAGTTATGTGTATCTTCAAAACAATAAAGGCTTTGAAAGCATTACAACAAAACAAGTTATAATAAAAACAGCAAGACAAATTCAATTTTGGAGAAAAAAGCTTTACTCTAATTTTTCATTTGAAAATTTGAGAAAGATAATTTCCAGTGTTCTAGAGTAAGAATGAATGGATGGTCTGGTGCTGGAGGAATGGATGAGCGGCTACGGCGGCACACACTAACTACTCTTACAGAGGACTCCAGGTTTGGTTCCCATCACTCCAATCAGGCAGCTCACAACTGTAACTCCAGTCCCACAATACCCAAAGACTCTGTTCTTCTGGACACTTGTGCACATGTCACACACAGAATTAGCAATAATAAACCTATTAAAAAACAGAATGAATAGTCTTCAATCGAATAAACATTCGATTTTGCCACTGATCAAGTTTTCTTACAAAATCTTTATAAGTTAAATCCAAACAACTTGGATCAGATGTGAAGTTTGTAAATGTGGGTAAATTTGATTGTGAAAGATCAGGGTAAAACACATTGCATATTTCAGGTTGAATGTCAGAAATGGAGTTTACTCCAAGGAGTCCAGAGATCACCAGAGATATGATACAACAGCATGCCTCGGAGCAAAGGAAAAATTGAATGAGAACGGGGGACCTTTTCTGATAATGGTGGGAATTTAAGTCTTGGAGCTGCATCCAAGAAAAGAAAAAGAAAAAGAAAATGGCCCTTCACAGGGGCAGTTCTCCAGATGCCTGAGTTCAGGGCAGTTTGAATAGGCCCAAGGATGGAGATGGAATAGAGGCAGAAAGGAGCTGACTGTGAGGATGAAGATGCAGATTTCCTGTGTCAGAAAGGAGCTGACTGTGAGGATGAAGATGCAGATTTCCTGTGTCTGGAAACGAAAGCACACGCAGGCCTGAAGAATGGTACCCTGACAGGTGTGCTCGGGAGGAGGCAAGGACCGGCAGGAGACAGGCCCGCGGGGTGGTGGGCGGACGCCGGGACCCCCGGGAGGTGGGCGAGCCTACAGCCCGCCGGGGGCCAGAGGACAGCAGGGAGGCCAGCGAAGCGCGGGTCGGGGGGGGAACCCTGCCTGACAGCCCCTCCCTATCCCGAGTCCCTTCTCACCTGCTGGTCCCTTTTAGACGTGACAGCCACCAACAGCACCGAGCTGCAGCGTCCAATTATTGCCGGAAGTCGTCCGCCTCCCGCCGAGGTGCACCGCTGGACGCCCCGCCTCGGAATCCCGTTGATTGGCCGGTGTGGAGCCACGTGACTGTGTTGCTACCCGATCTTGGAGGCCTCTGTGCGCGCGTGCGCGGTGAGTGCAGGCCCCACCCACCCATCCTAGGCGCCTGTGGGCCCATTGTGGTACTTTTTGACTCGCCCATCTGGCGTTGCCCATGTCCGCTGGGGAAACCGGTTGGTTAGCCACAGTCTCTGGACGCCCGCTCTGGACCTACAGGCCGCTCTGGCGCCGGACTGTTGCTAGCGAGGACACCCGCCGGTCTACACTCACACACCCACAGCCTAGCGAGGCAGCTGCGAATGCAAAGGCTTGGTTTGGGCTGCCCAGATCTCCCACACACCAGTGTCTTTTTGCGTCTAGCGCTGGGGCTCAAAGAAGGTCTTGGGGACCTGCCGCCTAGAATATCTTTCAATTCCTAGGAAGCTAGAAAAGCAGTGCCAACGGACCGAGTGTTTTCCAAATAGGTAGAGTGGGGTCTGTAGGAAGAAGAGGGCAAATTGGACCACTGCAGATTAGAGGGGCAGCAAGCTAGATCTTCTCAACCAGGGCTTGCTGCAGAGGAGTGTTGCTAGGAAAGGTCTCAGCCACCTGTGTGCTCATCTGATGGCAAAGCGAGCTCGGAATGGTTCTGACCAGAGTAAACAAGTGCACAATATTTAAAGGTGCCTGGTGTGTGGTAAGCAAACATCATGTTCTGTTTTAGTCTTTTACACTTTTGAATGGTGTAGGTATTCATATTTGGAAATTTGTGAGTCATTTCTGACGTGCTTATTCCAATAGCGTTTTTTCATCTCACACTTTTTAACATAATAGAGCAGTTATGGGTTGAAGTCGCCATTATTCTGTCCACACACCTATTTCAGGCACCTGGCTTTCACTTCTAAGCCATGTTTAATGGCTCTGTGTTTTTGTTTTTTGAAATGGTGGCTGTGTATTTGCAAGCAAAGGATAGCCATAATTCAGACTATACGGAGTTTTTGTTGGTGTTACCAAGCCAAGATACTGCCAAAACAGAGACAATAAAATATAACTGCTCAACTTCCAATGGGGTTTATCCTGATAAGCCAGGCAAGGTGAAAATACTAAGTCAAAAATGCATTAATAAACTCAATAGCAACATAATTTATGGTATACCTAGGCTATCATAAACACTCTCGGAACACATAAAAACCTATGATCAGGCAAGATTGTCTAATGAGGTCTGTTTAAAATGAGTTTAGAGCCAACAGGATGGCTCAGCTGGTAACTGCTTGCTTTGCAAGCCTGATGACCTGAGTTTAGTTCTGGAATCCTGGGATTGATGGGCAGAGAGCCCGGTTCCCAAAAGGTGTTCTTTGTACACTTTAGCTTGTACATGCCCATATTCACACGCACACACACAAAAGGAATTAATAGGCTATTTTTAAAGTATGTTGAATATGTTCTGTAGCTAGCTATTTCCTCTGAATTGAAATCTTCCCTCCTGGAAAAAGGAATAGGGCACCTAACAGTCAGAAGCAAAGGAAACTTAAAGGTTTGGGGAAGCCCCTGAGAGAAGATTCACAAAATCCCTATCTACCGAAGATTTAAAATAAACAGAAGCAGTGTCAGGGGCCTCCAGAGATGAATTTTCAGCCATGCTGGTGTGAGCCTTTCAATGGTGTAGGTGCCTCTGAGTCACCCATGCTCCTGCAAGTTATCCCAGTAAATCAACTCACTGGCTCACTAAGCTAAATGTGAATGAAACAATTTCTTTGGTCTGATATCAGTGTCATAACTAGGGTGAATAGGTATTTGGTTACATATCTCCAGGAAAAATCATGCAACAAATTCCTCTTAAATTTATTGACTAATGTGCTAAAAGTTTAGCCTGTGAAAGAAGGCAAGCCACTCATAGAGACAGGAACATCCTCTCTAAATCTGTGGCAGCTGGGAAAGGTGACATTGGCAGACTGAAGGCATGAGGTCAGAGTGAGCATTGGGGCATTCAATTTACTTAACAAACTTAGTCAGATCAGGAAAAAACATACCATGTCTCTTTATTTTCTTCAAAGAAATCCCAATCTGACAGTTGTCAAGAAGTTGGGAAAACTTAGCCTGATAGTTGATATCCCTTTCCACATTGATGGTTCAGGATGGTGAAAAGAAGGCTGTTGCTCGGCACAGGTGCCTTGGTGTTCATGCCTTCCGGAACATGGTGTGGTGGTAAGCTAAGGACCTGTGTATCCTGAGGGTGACGTTGCATCCATCTTTCTTGGCCTTTTTCTTGCACACAGGCAGGTGTACATCCTTGCCTTTGGATGTTGTACCATCTGGACTCAGGGAATAACCCTGTTTTCTTTCCTCTCTGCAACTCAGAGAATAGCAAATTTAATGGAGTCTTTACTCAACATGCATTAATACTGTGGCAGAAATAAACCCAACATGATCCTGACACCTTGGCGTGGGACAGGGAGGCCCACATTCCATGTGCCCCATACTGGGATTTTTGAGAGATGTTTAGCTAATGATACCAACTTGAAATCCCATCTAAACAGCACACCTGTTCCTGACGTGCCAGCAGCATGTCGGGATTTCAAGGTCACATCAAATATGGTATCACTATTCACCTGCTTTACTTCTGATTGTTTCCACGGTGATTTACTTATCTTATTACTGTGTTGCCTTGAGATACAAGCAATAAAACAAGGGGCAGAAGATCCTTTGAACTGGAAGGAAACACACTGACAACAGGAGCTAGAAGTGACAGTTGCTATTGTTGACTGCCTAGTTTTTGTGCTTAATGCATCTAAACACTTGCATATCTGATTGGCTACTGTCTGGTGTGGCAGTTCCCTCTAGCCATGAGGAAGTACATTTATCTGCCAAGGTTTAGCTATTAGACATCTTTAGTTTCTTGGTTTGTATTCCCACATGACTTTGACAAGTTACTCATGTTTAAGGAGAAAACCATGTATTACTCGGTCTGCTAAGGGCACTGATGTTACAATATACTTTGTTCCCTAACCGTCTAAGAAGAAACTGTACAGAGCACTCAGACCATAACTTAGGGGTTCCTAATGGTCACCTTGAAATGGGCAGACATAAACAATATGATGGTTTCACATGAATGTGAGGATTATCTGTGAGTATCCCCATGATGTTAAAAGACAAAGAAATGTGAGGAGAAAGAAAGATGGATTTTCTCCAGCTGAACTCCAGATAGGCATTCTTGGTATCAGGACTGGCTTCTGAATGCCCCGTTCCATCTGAGCACTGGGAAAGGCCCTATGCCTCACTTACTGGGAGGGGACTTAATGGAAATGTCAAAGTTCAGGACTGAAGAGAACAAGTAGGGTGCCATAAGGAAGTGGACAGGGAGCACCATGTATGGACAAAGCCTGACCTGCTGAGTTCCTCGGCATTGGTTTGCTTCCTCCCATTGATTCCTGGCTGGGAAGCTTAAGAAATGAGACATTACCCCTTTCCCATTGCTTTTCATTTCTCTAAAGAGTCTACTTCTCATAGTAGGGTGGCTACTGTCTCACAGTGAGAGCCACATCATGTGGTTAGAAGCAGAGGACAAAAACAAGAAGGAAGACCAATATTTCCAGATATGATCTTGCCTTGCTAAAAGAAAATTGCAGAGATAGAAAATACTCAGCTACTATTATGCCTTGGAGGTCCACAGAGGGAACAGCACATCTATATTTAAATCTAGAGAAAATAAATAACATACTTTGTACAGATGTTTCTCCTTTGACTGAAGGGCAATAGAGCTGTTCAAGCCAACGTACTTTGAAAGGGCATTTATAAGAAGGAATCACAGCTTGTTGCGGTTCCTACTATTACAAGTGACACGTATTCTGTGCTGCTACCTATTATCTTGTCATGGATCGAAACTCAGGCTGGCAGACTGCAGTGGAGAAAAGCTGAGCTTCCAGTGGAAGCTGGTGAGAAGCAGTCCTTTCTTGTCCCATTTCCATCTTTTTAATTTTGTCATTGAATTAAGACAAAGTCTCCCTAGGTTGTCCTCAATTTAATCCCTCCTGCCTTAGTCTCCAGAGTGCTAAGATTTCAGGTGTGCATTGTCATGCCTGGTTCATACTTGCTTCCTTTTAAGTTCATAAACTCTCTTCCAATGTCTGAACAACCAAGCAATCAAAAAGAGGCTGGAGAGATGGTGCATTGTTTAAGAGTGCACACTGCTCTTGCAAAGAATCCAAGTTTAGTTCCCAGCAGCCACTTCAGACAGTGAACAATACATATAACTACAGCTCCAGGGGATCCCAAGTACTACTCTGTGGGCACCTGTACTCCCATGTACATACGCTCACACAGATACACACACGCACACGCACACGCACACGCACACGCACATGCACACACCAAATAAAAATCTGGGGCTGGAAAGATGGCTCAAAGGTGAAGACCACTAACTTCCAGAGGACTCGGGTTCAATTCCCAGCACTCCAGTGGCAGCTCACACCTGTCTGTAACTCCAAGATTTAACACTTTCATACACACATGCAGACAAAATACCAATGCACATGAAATTAAAATAAATTATAAAACTAAATAAAAATCTAAGAAAGGAAAATGGGGTTTGGACAATAGCTCATCAAGAAAGATGTCTGTTTTTACAGACAGGACTTCTCTGTGTAACAGCTCTGACCATCCTGGAACTCACTTTGTAGAGCAGGCTGGTCTATGTTGCTATGTGAGTTCCACCTACCTCTGCCTCCAAAGTGCTATGATTAAAGGTGAATGCCACCATTGCCCACCCATGCAGGAAAGATTTGATCCCTGTCCCTACCCTCACCTTAGGAGTTAGAGGTGAAGCTATTTTCTGAGGCTGTCAATAGTTGATGGGATCAGCACGCCCTAACCCGCAGCTACGGCTGAGCTCCATCCTTCTTGAAGTCCACACTCCATCTTAGTCTTTAATTTTACACTCTCACAAAACTAGTAGAGGCTGGGAGGGTAACTAAGCAACAAACACTTGGAGTGAATGATGTTCACTTTAGGAGTCACCCAGTTC